TATTTTAGAGGGCATAATCATCTCTTAAAGATGACTCAGAAATCACCAAGTCTGGAAGAGTCTGGAATGAGATGATTGTTTTGCTTAAACTACTATAGCTGGCCACTCGAGGGAGCTCTGAGATAAGCTGTAAGCACCAACAAAGCCAAAGCAGTGCTACCAAGCTTGCTTGCCTGGGTTTTGAGTATAACCAGTATCTCCTTGCTAGTCCCAACTAAATGGAGGTCCATTAAATCAATTGATGAATTAGTGATACATTAGCAGGTATGTAAATCCCATTGAGTGAATAAGTCTACCAAAAGAGGCTACAGGTCAGTGGCTCTTTCCCTTAGGTCAGGGCAAAACTAGGTATGCGTTGGCTTTTCCAACTCTGGTGGTTACTTGAATGTTCCTTCGCAGATGAGTGAAATAATGAGGCTGTGCCCCACACGAGGTGGCACTGCATCAAGCAGGGGTGGATTACTACAAGCTCCAGAGCCAAAGCTAGGATATTGTAGATTCCACATCCCCTTTCCTATTACCATCATGACTTGATGGTTTCTCAGATTTTTTCATAGGATTTCCTCCATTTTAAAAGTTTGAAATGCCTCTCATGTAGCTTCATTACTGGCAGTTCAGAGTTTTAACCCCAAATATGCTCAGTGTTTTGGGACCTGCCTGACATTGGAATGTAATGCTTCACAAACTTTTCTGAAATTGAGTTGAGGCTCTTAGGCTGAAAACAGGCTCCCTACCCTTAGGGCAAGGTAAGCATTTTGGAGAGATGTTTACCACATGAATTAATTACACACCAATGGTTTTTGAGCTTTTGGGGTGATCCAAAGGTACTTCTGGTAGAACTTCCTTATTGCTTAATGCATCTTGCCTCAGAGAACTGTGGGCAGGTGTGTTCTACACATTTGGAACCCACCTTTTAAAAAAAAGCTACAGGAACTAAGTCATCCAATGCTTTTGGAACAGTAATGCTCAGAACAATTTTGTGTGGAAAAACCCACAGAGCCAGAGTAGTTGGTAGCCTTTTGCTTCTAAGAGAAGGGTGTAAAAATTCCAGATCATGCTGCAAAAGAGGATTGAAGGATTACGTCAATTCTCACAGACATGCACCACCAAGTTTTGGACTCTTCTGTACCTTTTGTCTGCACTATCCATAAAAAGGCTGCACGAATGCTGAGGAAGTGGAATATTATCTACGAAAGCTTGCACTTTGTTTTTTTTTTTTAATGGTCCAATATAAAGTATCACTCATTCTTACATTTGTCTAACCTTGGGGACCAGTCTTTTCCTTGTTCTCAGAGTTGTTTATTAGTTTCTTCCGTGGAAAGCAGACCATGCAAGCAGTAAAATCTAATGGTTCAAACAGAATTGATCCTTCTACCTCTACTGTAGTTCTTATTATAGATCATGTTCCTGCAGACACTTTCAACCTAAATTTAACACTGGGCTGCTGTAAACGGCAGAAGTCAGTTCTCTTCCGCCACGGATGCTCTTGCATTCATGCCCCGCTGTGACATAAAAACGTAAGGAATATATAGATTTGAGAAGAACTGCATAGGCAAACAGAATTGATCCTTCTACCTCTACTGTAGTTCTTATTATAGATCATGTTCCTGCAGACACTTTCAACCTAAATTTAACACTGGGCTGCTGTAAACGGCAGAAGTCAGTTCTCTTCCGCCACGGATGCTCTTGCATTCATGCCCCGCTGTGACATAAAAACGTAAGGAATATATAGATTTGAGAAGAACTGCATAGGCAATTGCATAGGAAGAAACCAAATTTGGCGGCGGATGAAATTGGCAATTATAGGCCCGTCGCCAATGTTTCCTTCCTCAGCAAAGTGGTTGAGAGGGTGGTGGCAGATCAGCTTCAGGCGCTCTTGGACGAAACCAATGC